AATGCAAAAGAATGAAAAAAGACGCTCTCTGACCATAAAGCTGGCTGTGTGTATTGCACGCAATGACCACAGATACCGATTCTGTATTATAAACCGCAGGTATCATCTTGCCAGCTTTCTATTGACAGGTTCTAATTATTATCTGGTTTTGAAACTCCTGGATGTCATGCAACAGGTATGGTGTGTGGGCAATACTGTATTATTCTTCACAATAATTCCTTAGCATTGCACCTCGGGCTTTCTAGGCGTGGTCCAGACATTAAGACAGCACCGTCCTTGCCTGCTTGCTTACAACCCAATGGCAGTGATACCCAAGGAAGAAGTGATGGGTAGCACTAACTCTCCATAGGATATGGGACTTCACCGGCTGAGGGTCTGTTTCCCAGCATAGGTCAAAGTCCCGGGAATGACTGGTGACCTGAATCCAGGTGAGCTTTCATGGGAGGTCACCTGCAGGGAGTGTGGGAGGTTGTCTCTGGGCTGCCTTCCAGGGTTATGATGTAAGGGTTATGACGCCAAGAGCAGCTAGGATTGCTTCCTTTCTGCTGTCCTCCTGCCAGTGAGAACAAATATGCAGGTTTTGGCAGGTGAACTGGTCTGTTGGGTTGGCCGCTGCTTTTCTTCTATAACCATTGATTATAGGGATCCCAGCAGACGTGCCAATGGATGGCAAGTTCCCAACTCCTAGTGTAATGTGCTAAGCCTGTGTTTTTAAAGCATTATTGTTTTTAACCAAATTTTTGTTTCTTCAGCATCTCCTATGAGTGTTAGCTACCTTAAGTGGCATTTTCCAGGTGAAAGTGGAGTGAAAGTTAAGCAAGCACATAAAGTTAGGATTAGAAAAATGTCCACCATTTCCCACCATAGAGGTTACTGTCTACTGGATAGTTTACTTCAGTGGATGTTGCGAATGAAGCTTAGCATCCCCGTTCTCGGGTTTCCCAAGACTGATTTAGGATCAGTTGCCTACCCCACGCCAACTTCACACCTCTGTGACATCAGAGCAGCTAAGCCAGCGGCCGGCCAGCAGAGCCTGCGCAACCAGGACAGATCAGCCTCTTTGCTACCAAATGGCACTTGAAGGTCATGCACTATGAATATCTAGTTTTACTGAGATATAAATCGGCAGACAGCTGGATCTGTATAAGCAAGGGATAGGGCTGAATGCAGAAGCGTGGCAGGAAGACCTTGGCTATGCACCAGCTGGGCACATGCATATTCTTCGCTCCATCCCATAAGATTGTGAACAAGGAGGCATGTTTGCTCTGCAATCCAATAAACCCAAAGCAAACATGGGTTGAGATTTGGCTCGAAGCTTATCAGGCTGTCCGACTGCAGAAGCGACATGTCATGCTGGCATCGTACCAGCGACTGTAGCCACTCCCCACAGAGGCATCCTCCAGTATTTTCCAAAGTAAGTCAGGCATGCGTCTTTTCATTGTTAAAATTATCCCCTCTAACTGCTTGCACTGCACAGAGGTACACATACATGAAATCGGGATGGGAAGGAAATACATCTCATGGGCCACTGTTGATCAGATCAGGACTATTCTCTAAGGTAACTAAATTGATCAAAAGGCTGAGCCAGCTCCCCTGCGAAGCAAGATGACAATGTTTGGAACTGTTTGGTTTTGAAAAGGGGTGAACAAATGGAGGCAAGACAGAAGGGCACAAAAGTTAGGTGTGGTGCAAAGACGGCAGATATGGAGACATTTTTCTCTTCCTCTCAATACGAAAAGCAAAAGGGATCATCCCATGATTAGTGGGAGATTCAGGGCAGAGGAAAGGAGGCCCCTTTCAGAAAGCTTAGTTAAACTATGGAATTCATTGCCATAAGCAGTAGGGATGGCCACCCACTTGCAAAACTTTAAACGCGAATTGGAGACATTTGTGGAGGCTATCCACGGCTACTAGTCCTGATGGCTATATGCTGTCCCCAGTATCAGAGGCAGTAGAATGATCTACATCAGTTGGTGGGGATCAGGGGTGGGAAGATGCTGTTGTGCTCACATGGATTTCCTGGCTGGCTGCTGTGTGAATAAATGCTGGGCTAGATGCGTGTTCTCTCTGACCCAGCATGGCTCTTACGCTCTTAGTGCTTTTCCTACAGAGGCCTTTCTGCAGAAGCTCCCTTGTGCAACCTCTCTGGCTTCTCCAATCCAAAGCAAAACACTTCTGAGCGCAAGCTTCAGGAAGACTTTTAGCTGAGATCTTGTCGCTCCATTGCCAGTTGGAACAGATACTAGGCAGACGCTGCTGTTCTTTGGAGGTTCATCTATTTTTGCTGCTTCCATGTGGTGAGCAGGGTCAATGCTGTCACTTCGAAGGATATCTGGCCACATGTCTCTCTATCCCATCTAAACTCTTTTTCAGTTCTGTACCACTGTGATGGTGAAAATAAGGTAGGCAATCAAGATATGTTGCTGTTGTTAGTCGCAAAGTCATGTTTGACCCATCGCAACCCCATGGGCAACATTCCTCCAGGCCTTCCTGTCCTCCACCATCTCCCAGAGTTCACTCAATGTCACACCAACTGCTTCAGTGACTCCATCCAGCCACCTCATCCTCTGCCGTCCCCTTCTTCTTTTGCAATCTATTGTTCCCAACATTAGGCTCTTCTCCAGGGAGTCCTTCCTTCTCATTAGGTGGCCAAAGTATTTAAGTTACATCTTCACTATCTGGCCTTCTAAAGAGCAGTCAAGGTTGATCTCCCTAGGACTGACCGGTTTGATCGCCTTGCAGTCCAAGGGACCCACAGGAGTCTCCTGCAGCTCCACAATTCAAAGGCCTCAATCCTTTGGCACTCAGCCTTCCTTATGGTCCAGCTTTCACAGCCATACATTGCAACTGGGAAAACCATAGCCTTGACTATACACACTTTTGTTGGCGGGGTGATGTCTCTGTTTTTTAGTATGCTGTCTAGATTTGCCATAGCTTTCCTCCCCAGGAGCAAGCACCTTTTAATTTCTTGGCTTCAGTCCCCATCTGCGGTGATCTTGGAGCCCAGGAAAATAAAATCTGTCACTACCTCCATTTCTTCCCCATCTATTTGCCAGGAAGTGAGAGGACCGGATGCCATGATCTTAGTTTTCTTAATGTTGAGTTTCAAGCCAACTTTTGCACTCTCCTCTGTCACCTGCATCAAGAGGCTCTTCAGTTCCTCTTCACTTTCTGCCATGAGTGGTATCATCTGCATATCTGAGGTTGTTGATGTTTCTCCCTGCAATCTTGATTCCAACTGGTGATTCATCTAGCACCGCCTTTCTCATGATGTGCTCTGCATAAGTGAAATAGGCAGGGCGACAGCATACAGCCTTGCCAAACTTCTCAATTTTGAACCAATCAGTGGTTCTATGTCCAGTTCTCACTGTTGCTTCTTGACCCGCATATAGGTTTCTTAAGGGATGAATAAGATAGTCTGGTACTCCCATCTCTTGCCACAATTTGTCGTGATCCACACAATCAAAGGCTTTAGCATAGTCAAGGAAACAGATGTTTTTCTGGAACTCCCTAGCTTTATGTTAGAGGAAGTTTTTTTGTTTAGTCGCTAAGTCGTGCCTGATGCTACATAACCCCATGGACAACATTCCTCCAGGCTCTCCTGTCCCCCACCATCCCCTGGAGTTCACCTAAGCCCACACCCACCACCCCAGTGACTCTTATCTGCCCACCTCAACCTCTGCTGTCCCTTTCTCCTTTTGCTGTCAATCATTTCCAGCATCAGAGTCTTCTCCAGCGAGTCCTTCCTTCTCATTAGATGGCCCAAATATTTGAGTTTCATCTTCAGTATCTGGCCTTCTAAAGGGCAGTCCGGGTTGATCTCCTCTAGGACTGACTGGTTTGATCTCTTTGCAGTCCAAGGGACTCTCAGCAGTCTCCTCCAGCACCACAATTCAAAGATGTCAATTCTTCGGCACTCAGCCTTCCTTATGGTCCAACTCTCACAGCCATACATTGCAACTGGGAAGGAGAGCCATGTGCAATTGAATGATCCAGGATCAGCATGGTCAGGCATCTGATGGAAAGCCTACAACTCAGCAGGGCTCCTCAGAGAAGAGCCTCTCTTCTTTTGCAAGCTGCTTACACTCTCGCCTATCACTATGGCCCAGACAGTGGTGACGGCGGTCTTGAGAAGCGGTAGGCTCCCCTACCTTCTTCACTGACCCTCCAACTTTCAAGCAAGCAGTGGCCAGAAGGGCAGAATGGAGGAGATGGAGGGGGTGAAAGGGAAGGACTTGCTGAAGGAGGAGCCACTGAGGGTGTCTTGCTTAATGGTCTTCCAAATAGCAGAGCTCTGCGTTGGGTAAGAATGCAAGAGTCCTGCTGGATCAGAGCAAGGGTCCATCTAGTCCAGCATTCTGTTCATGTGGCGGCCAAGCCACAGGATCTCACAAGTGTGGCCACATCCTCCCACCATGTTCACATGCACTGAAGACAGCAGAGCCATCAACTAGCTGCTCCTCCATGATTTTGTCCAACCCCCCTTTAGCACCTCCCAGAACGGTGCCATCACTAGCTCTTCTGGAAGGAAATTCCATAGTTCAGCTATGCCCTGTGTGAAGACCTTCCCTTTGTCTCTTCCAGAACACCTCACATCAGCTTCATGGGGTGACTCTGGATTCTAATGAGAGGGAGTGAAAAATGTCTCCCTATCCACTTTTTCCAAACTATACAGGATTCCCTAACTCCATTCTCTCCAAATGCTTCCTTTGGTCACTGCAGAACAGCAGGGGGGAAGTCATGCCCCAACCTCATATTCTTGGACTTCAGCTCCCACCTGCCCCAGCCAACATAGTCAATGGTTAGGAATGATGGGAGTCACAGTCCAATGCCATTGGGGGGAGGGGGAAGAGCCTCAACAAACATGCTATTGGAAAGTGAACCCATCTGAGCCCAGCTATCCTGGCCAGGCTATGAAAGAAGAGCAGGTCATGAACCCCCATGCTGGGGATGGTAAGAAGGGCTCAACTCTTAACCCACAGAAGAAGCAGCCACAAATGTCCCAGGAAATTATTTACTCAGGGTAATTCTCCCTTTCCAGCACCAGACACACACACACACACACACAAAAGCACCCCGCCCCGCTCACCCCCAAGTACAGACTGAGACAACCAGCCCAGTCTCCAGAGAGCTTTTCCGGCTTTATTTGTAGAACTCGTGCTCCTGTTCATCCTTCTTGATGACCGTCTTGTAGGCCTTCTCAAAGTCCTTGGCCAGAACGATGTAGCGGTTCTCCCGCACGGCTAGCATCCCCGCCTGGAAGGAAACCGAGAGGGGTGAAAAGGGGGAGCTGGCTGAATTGTAGGAGATGCAGTCCAAAGCATCTGGAAGGGCACTAGATTGGGGAAGGCTGGCACATGTCACCCCAGCATCCTTAAAATAACGGGGGTGGGTAATTTGCAGGCCAAAAAGACCCGGAGGGCCACAACTCCTATCATGCTGTATGACTATGCTGGTTAGGCGCTGATGGGGAACACGGTTGCCATGGCCCTACTAGAGGAAGATACAGGAACTTGTGCCAGCCCCAGATTTCACCGGACTCCTAATTCCCATCAGCCCCAGCCAACATGGCCAATGGGAGCCGCAATCTCACAACACCTGGAGAGCCAAGCATTCCCCACCTCTGTAGCAGGTGATGTGGTGGTGGGGATATCTGACAAAAGACCCTCCCAGTCAGAGCAGACAAAGCCTTGGGCTTGAGAGACCAAAGGCCTGGCTCAGCACAGGGCCGTTGCGTGCGCTAGCAAATCAGCACAGTGCAACTTGCGGATGGCTAAGAGCAGGTGACATGCCCAAGCCCATCTGCAGAGTTTGTGGCAGAGGTGAAGACTGACCCCAAAGCATCCAGCTTCGTAACTCGGGCTCTTCACCACTTCTGCACATTTGCTCTTACATCCGAAACACCAAAAGGGACACAATTCACAGCTCAACTGCCTGCTGCCTTCCCCTTCCCTACGGTACCTCTCCATTTCCCCAAATGTACCAGAGTACAAAGAGGTAGGTCTGGGGCCAAGACTCCTAAACAGAACCAAGACGGTCCCCCTGGGGGCTGCCTGCTTCCATGGTAACGTCTTCAAAAAGTGGCCAACCCACCCCAGCTCATGGCACTGACCTCCTGGCAAATCGAGTTGATGTCAGCTCCTGAGATCTTATCCGGCCGGGCTACATCTGGGAGGAGGAGTGAAGGAAAAGGGTGCTGGACCAGGCCTCATGTCGGGGTGGAGGGCCGGCTGACCTGCACAACCAGGAAGCCCCTTTCCCAGCAGCTCTGTCCTGCCTGTTGAAACCAGCAAAGCATCTGAGGAGGAGCAACAGCTGATAACACAAGGCTGTGCAGGAACACACGTGTGCGGCAGGCACTGCAGTCCAATAGGGATGCTGGACGCTGCTAGGCACCCCCACCCCACTGAACTGCTGGGAAGGATACAGTCCTCGAGATCTACTTCCTCAGACAGGTTCATCTTGCTGGTGATGGTGGAGAAGATTAACCGTTTCTGGCGTCGGTCTGGCAGAGGAAACTCGATTTTGCGATCCAGACGGCCTGGCCGGAGCAGAGCAGGATCAAGGGTGTCAGCTCGGTTGGTGGCCATTATCACCTGTGTTGGGGAGAAATACCAACAAGCAAGTCAGAATGTCAAAGGAAATGCCGAAGTAGAAAATCTAATATATTTCAAACCACACAGCACATACAGTGCCCTCCAGTGAACTCAGGCACATGGGACCAGGCACAGCTGACCATCAACGGAGGCAAACTGCGGCCTCAAACTTCACAAATCCAGCAGTTCTTGCACCTCCTTTTGTGCAACCAGAAACTGTCTTGCAGCTTGCAGGGAAAGCAAGTTTTCCCCACCGGGCAGGGCCAATGGACAGCCAGCGAGAAATTTTTATACCTCGAGAACCCACATGTTGAGAAATCTGCCTGATGAAAAAAATACTGCCCGTATTTTGCCAATGAAGAAAGTGCCAAAAATGCTCTAGGGCACTGAAGCCCAGGCTGGTGGGGGGTGGCACATCCAGCAGAAGGGCGGGGGGGGGGGGGCAAACCGGGACACCCAGAGTTCCCCCACAGGATGCCTCCTTCCTCCTTCCCTGTCCCCATAAACCCCCAATCATCAGCTGTTTCCCCAGCTTCTGCAAAATTCCCCTCATCTCCATCACAGGTCCATTCGAAAGGACTGAAATGCTCTCCGAAATTTAGTTACTGGCAGTAAGAGTTTTATGGCTAGAGTTTGCCTTGAAATCCAGAAATCGGGACATGGAAAGGAATGGCCCCTCTGGACCGCCCAAACGCCGCACATGCTCCTTCCTCTTCAACGCACCTTGACATTAACATTCTGGTCGAAGCCGTCCATCTGGTTGAGAAGCTCCAGGAGGATGCGCTGAACCTCCCTGTCCGCTGTGGAGAGACGGACAGAACTGTCCACCAACACCCCAGGTGAGACAGGCAGCCCCCCCGCCCCCGCTGCTCCAGTCAAGGCTCACCCACATGCTGTGCACAACTTCCAGGATGCCAGGCGAGTCCGGAGGTGTGGCCAGGTGCAGAGAGCCGTTTTGCTGATGCAAACCCCACGCCCCGCAAGCTTCCAGGCCTTGCGATCACACAAATGAGATGGCGGCCCTCTTAAGCAGTGTTGGCAAAGGCCTTGAGGGAAAATCAGGGGGTTGCGAGCGGGGGCTACGAATGCCACAACATTTTACGAAAAGGGCATTTCTGCTCCAGATGTCTGCTCCTGTCCCAGCGGGACTTGCTGTGCCTCCAGGGCCATGCACGTGGTGGGGATGCCGTGAGCGGAGTTGGCTGGAGCCGGGGGTCAGCCTAGATGGCCCGGGAGACCCCTTCTGACTCGCGCTGTTTCTATGTTTCTGTCTTCTACTGGCTGCTCAGTGGGCTGGCTCCCTGACCTGCTTACTGATTTATTGTTAATACAACAATAAAGGGTGTTGATGTTTCCTATGATTAGCAGCTAATCCCCACCTCTAAACCCACCCCCTTCTTCCATGCCTACTGTCATCCAGTTCCTTGCTGGCCAAACGCAGTTGGATCTGTTTGCCTTTTTGAACAGAACTGTGCAAAATAAAGCAAGCAATCACACCAACTGTGTCCAGTTCCATGAGGCTGAAGAGCTGCTATGGTCCAGCTCATCAAATACAAAGGCCCAGCCTCCCGAATGCCAAGCAGAAGTGCTAACCTTCACTTGCGTCAGGATTTTTCCTTTGGCCTTCAAAGGCTTCCAAGAGACAAAGAACTCTGGAAGCCCAGGGGGTTCTAGCCTATTGTGACAACGCAGGGAAAGGACGACACATAGAGGAAACAGCAGGAACTGCAGCCACACACCCCATCGTGCATTGCCAAAACGAAGAGGTTATGCAGCAAATGCAGGATTCCCAAAGGCCTCTTTGCCGCTTGATCCGAATGTGAGGCCATGAATGGCTGAGGCTCAGCCCTTTCCTCACCTGCTTCCTCCAGGGAAAATCTTCTCACTCATTCTTTTCTTTTAATTTTACCAAGTGAATATTTTCAGGCCTCCTTTTGGAGTAAAAGCCTCCACAAAAAGCTTATTAAACATATTATACAAACATCTCAGATAATGCTATTCTGATGAGGTTATTTGGCGAGGTGGGCATGAGGGTTGGCAACATCTGATTGTTCATTTAGTTTTTTAAAAATGCCAAGTGACTTGAATGTTTGCAAGATACTATTATTTCATCATGAAAGAAATGTAATAAATGAAAGAGTAAACAAGCAAATAGCACTGAGACCAAATCCGGCAGCAGCCAGAATCATGTGACTTTCCCCTTTGGAAAGGCGACCAGCTGAGAAGGGACTGGGCCGAGGGCAGGAAGGGGTTAAGCCCCTCCCCCACCCAGCACTTCTCCCTACCAAACCGGACCATCTCTGACCCGTGATGGATCGCTCTGCAGCAGCCCAGCCACCCTCCAGTCCTCCCTCTGCCCTGCAGACCCAGCTCACCGCCAGTCTGAGCATCAAAGCGCTTGGTGGCAATGGCATCGATTTCGTCGATGAAGATGATGGCCGGAGCGTTCTCTTTGGCCAGGCGGAAGACGTCCCGCACCATGCGTGGTCCTTCACCCAGGTACTTCTGCACGAACTCAGATCCCACCACCCGGATGAAGGCAGCTGGATAGAAAGGCAGCATCAGAGCCCAGTGCCCCACAATCGGCGCCAGGTCAAGACCTTTTCATTTAATCAATATTTTAATATGTTTTAATATTGGATTTTATTATTGCATTTGCAGCCAGAGTGGGTCGTCAATTTATTTATACTGTTAGCCGTCCAGAGACGTTAGTAATTGGACGGCATACAAAATCAATCAGTCAATCAATCAATCCCAGTAGAGAAGTAGACTGGTTGTCCTGACAATTTGCCCTGATCTGAAGGCTTCAGCGACCTGGACGAGCAACGGCTGTCTCTGCTTGGTGCGACAGGAGGGGAAGTGGGGCTTGCACTGGAGAAGCCTTCTCCACCATAGAAGCAAACGGAAGAAGAGCAGTGTGGAAGCCCAGCCTTGCATCAAGGAATGACAACTGACAACTGAAAGCCCAATCTAGCCCCCCGACTGCTACCTTCTGGGCCCTCAACTGCACTTAAAGACACAAGGGTAGATGCAGAGCAGCTGGGGAACCAGCTGACCGGGGCTATTTAGTGCTGAAATCCAGGAACATCTAGAGAATGGGGAAGAGTGCATGACGAGAAGTGGCAAAAATGTACAATTGGGTTTGTAACAACTTCTAACTGATACAAGCTACACAAATGATTTTCTTGGCACAGATACATTTTATTTATTCAATTTCTATTGTGCCCAATAGTCAACGCTCTCATTTTTAGGATAAAATACACTTCATAGCAGGGAAACTTGTCCGTAGGCCTTACAGAGATACCCACCTCAAGTGTTGCTGGATAAAGGTCAGCATATTAATATGCCTGTAGCCCTGAATGCAGTTTGCACAGGGGTGCAGAACTATGGCAATGCCAGGAACCCCCTTTTGTCTTTCAGCTGCTTTCGTTGTGTCTCATGGAACAGATCTATATCCCGCTTTTTTCAGTGAGCTCACAGCCGTTAACAATGCAAGTTAGCACAGTAATTTTGCACACGATCCGATACATGCCGGACAAAAATGGGTCTTGAAACTCCCAGCATAGTCCAACCAGCCATGGTTTTTCTAACGGAAGGGCTGTACACTTAATTTCAAACAGTCTGACAACCATACATGCAATTGACTAAACTGCCTTGGATTCTTCGCAGAAAAGAAAGGTGGGATACACATGTAAGAGGGTGATGACGACGACGACAACAGAGAAAAGCTTTCCGTGGCAGCAGGGAGGGGCAAGGGTGGCACTTCACCGGGTTGTGATCTGCCGGCGGCAACAGAGCCAGTGCTTCCTGCCCCTTCCCTGTGCGGCTCACCTGTGGTGTGATGAGCTACGGCTTTGGCCAACATGGTCTTCCCGCAACCAGGAGGGCCGTACATCAGAACGCCCCGCGGAGGGTCAATGCCGATCTGAAAGAACCACAGAGAGCATTTCAAGGACCACCGACACATCTTGCAGCGCACATGCGTGTGCGCACACACACACACCGTAGAGGAAAATTTTCGGAAGACTATTGTACCCGGCGGCGATAGGTGGTGCAACACAATTTCCTTCACACCTGCCCCACCTCCGGCATCCAAGGGAAGCCGCTTGCTCATTAGGATGGTACAGCACTGGAATGCAGGAAAGTGAACAGCGGAGCTTCTTATCACCGTGAGAGTCGGGAGCAGCAGATGTGGCCAGTTCACTGTTCTGATTCTAAGATTTCGGGGAGGGAGAGAAGCCTCGTGACCCCTCCTGAGCGAGTGCCAGTGTGAGAACTAGCCCAGCAAGGAGGGTGACACACGCTGGCCGAGAATTAGGGGCTGTCTCCTTGTCGTTTTCGAGGGGGGTCTCCCAATGGCTGATAGAGGGGAAGCCAGCTTATCTGGTATTGTATTTCCTTTTTATGTTTTAGAATAAAATTTGGTAGACTTTAATCTGCCTGTGTGCCCATTGCTTCTGGATCCAAAAAGAACCTTTTGCCCTTGGCGAAACACCCCCACACACAAATATATCCTGGGGAGACAGGCCATTTCAACTTGAAGAACGGACACTCGGGCAGGGCTACTTGAAGACAAAAGGGAGGCACAATCTATTTATTCTGTGGCTACGTTTTGCGAGGGAATGCAAAAGAGGCATAGATTAGTTATATTCCAACTTTCTAAAGAAGTGAAAACTAAAGGCAGTGGTGACACTGCCTCTGCTGTAGGGGGGCAGGGAAGAGAGGGGATGATAGAAAAGGCCTTAGAGCAGGGATGGGGTATGTGCAGCCTTCCAGATGTTGGACTGAAACTCTCATCAGTCCTAACCAGCACAGCTCTACCAGGACAACATCTGGAGGGGCATACATTATTCGTCCCTTGCTTAGATCAGAGGCAGGCAGCAGGCACATCTTCAGATGTGTAAGACTTCGACTCTCAGAAGCCCCTGCAAACATGGCCGATGGTCCAAGCTGCTGCGGGCTGATGTTCCTAGCACTTGGCGATCTACCTTCCACTCACTCCTGCCTTAGGCGGTGCTGTGGCCGCTCCCTTGACGCGGCTCTCCCATCCAGGCACTGACCAACCCGCAGCCGCTTAGTTTCAACAACACTGAACGTGAGCCGTGCAGGACAGACGCTGAGCCCGGCTCAAGCACAGTGAAGGGCGTGCACAAGAAGCCCACGGAGGAAGCGAACAGGAAATTATCCAAGTTCTACTTCAGAGTGTTTGGAAAACACACAAACCACACGTTCCTTTATCAGCCGACCAGAGGGAGGGGTATTTTGCACTCAAGCGTCGGCGACTGCATATGGGAAACCAACTCAGGATGCAAAAGCTGAAGATCAGCATATCGGCTCATTGCACTGAGAGCCACCCACCCGTGTGATGCTGAAAACTCGTACTGCATGTCTGTCCATCACAAGGGTGGCAAGCAACACGTTAAGAGAAGAAGAAAGCATACACTGAAGAGGAGAGAACTGCAGCCAAAAGACCACCCCACGACTGCTCAGCTATTGCCCACAGCAGCCATTCCAGGAGGCTGTGCAGCCGGAGAGGAGCAGCAGGCCTGGCCATTCCACCAGCCTGTTGCAAGACGAGGCGCTTCTTTCCCTCTTCTCTTCCCATCCCCTTTCTCTTGTGGGTCACGTCTTCTTAGAGGTAGCCCTGACTGATCTTCCAGTACCTGTTTGTAGAGTTCAAAGTGGGTGAGGGGCAGCTCCACTGCCTCCCTGACCTCCTGCTTCTGAATGTCCATCCCTCCGATGTCAGCGTACATCACATCTGGTTTCTGATCTGTTGGGAGGAGAGAGAGAGAGAGAGAGTGGGGAAGGGAAATACTACTCTATTCAAAGCGCCTCTCACAAGCAATACCAAGCAAGCCTCAGTTCCAAAAGCCCTGCTCTCTCGCGCCAGCCAGAGATGTGCACAAATATAAGCACGGATGGCACCCTCTTGTAAGATGCTGTCCAGGCAGAATCTAGGATATGGAACTGAATCTGGACTCCTGGTTGTTTCATAATTTTTCATTAAAAGCATTCAAGATAAAAGGTTTCTAGTCCTCGTGATTATGGAGCCATCTGAAAATGAGCTATCAGTGTCTGTTTTCCGCTTTGTGTAATTATCAGACCTTCTAATCCAACTCTTCTTGGATTCACAACCACCTTTATGAACCATTCCTGGGAGCAGGTGAGGAAACAATAAATAAAATCAGGAATTACAGAATTTCTTCCTGCCTAAACACATTCATCAAGATGCAGCTCCAGCAACTCATCCTCCTCCAAAGACTTTGAACCATCTTATAAACCAGCCTGCCACAACCTGGGGCCCTCCCAGAGGTTGGGACAACAACTCCCAACAGCACAGAAGAGTTAGGGCTGATGGGCATTGCAGCCCAAAGCATTTGGAAGGGCCCAGGTTGGGGGAAGGTGCTCTGAATTCTCACACACATCCCAGTACTGTGTGCCATGCAACTGCCTTCTGGCTCCGGGCAGCACCGTAAAGCACACGGACCCCACATGCAGCCACTGGGTTGGTTTGGCCTCTTGTGTAACCTAAAGAGCCTTACCTGAAGTGAGCATCATGATGCTGCTGTCAGCCTCAGGTGGCAACACGTCCACCAAGGCGTTGCTGTGTTTGTGCAGGGCCACAGAGGCATTGGGCTTCAGCAGCTCCCGGTCGATGGTGCTCAAGATCCGGACGTAATAGTTGGAACCTGCAGTGCAAAACATTCAGTGAGAGATGCCCGGGCGGGTGGGCGCGTACCCACACCTGGCATCCCTGCGTCTTGACACTCTGGCAGGCCCAGGGCTGACAACTTTTCCATCTCCTTCTTTTCTCCCAGATCAATGTCATGAACAGGTAAGTCGAGCTGACACTGTAGTTACCCACAATGCCCGTCACAGGGTCACTCTGAGGCATTGTGGGAAATCAAGATGATGGCCCTTAGCCAGCTGCCACAGCTCAGACTGCTGCTACCACCAGCTGCCACCACTGCCAGAAAAGCTGGTCAGGGCACACCCAGAGAGAGAACCCCATCGGAGCACATTCTGACAGGACCCCTGCGAGCCCAGAGTCACCCTTGGGGAAAAGGAGGAGAGGGCACAGAGAAGAGGAGTGGAGATACCTGTCGTGGAACCAACAATCGCGGTGTTCTGGTCCACCGCCTCCAGGAACTGGCCGATGACGAGGGGGATGCTCTGGATGCGCTTCACCTCCTCCTGGGCGTGCAGGAACTCCTTCTTCAGGTTCTTCTGCTCATCTTTGATGTACTCTTCTTGGACCTCCAAGAACTCCAGCTCTTGCTGCAATTTCTACGGGCAGACAAACAGAACGTCTGCCTTCAGGTTCCTTCTTCTGACCCAGCAGGCAGATGACTAGCAAAGCTCTATCACTTACCTTTCCCAGTAAAACTACAGCAGATGTGCCTTGTAGGCGAGGGAGTCTGGGAATGATCAAACCCGGGATGGATGACTGAACACACCAATGCAGCTCAGGCCTTGGGCCCACAAGTTTGCATTTCACTTAACACACACGCTCAGACATATCCAGCACTTTAGGCAGACAAGATATAGCAGCTGCCTCCAGTGCGAAGACACACAAGGTTACAACCCCAAACTGGGCACAATAACCAGGCGACTCACCTTGTAACGACTATATAGATCTTCCACATCCTCAGCTTCTGGAACTAGAAAGGAGAGGCCAATCTGAGGCTTCGAGATTGAGAGAGCAGGAAGCTCATCCTAGAACCAAGCGAGGAAACAAGAATTAATTTGGGAGAGAGTCATCAATGCACACGTCAACTCTTTAGGAGGAACACCTAGCCCAGGAGCGCAGAACTATAGGTCCAGGGGCCAAATCCAAGCTTCTGGGTGGATCCAGAAGGCCCTGCCCCATCCCACTAAAAACAAATTGTTTGGTGATTTCCCAGATTCCCTAAAATGGAAATGGAATACAGAGTCAGTGTGGCCTAGTGGTTACAGTGCTGGCCAAAGAACTGGGAGATCCAGATTCTAGTCCCAGCTCAGCCATGAAACTCACTGAGTCAGGTCACTGACTCTCAGTCTAACCTACCTCACACGGCTGTTGTTGTGAGGATAAAATGGAGAGGGGAAGGATTAAGTAATCCACTTCCACTTCCTTGCAGGACAAAGGGTGGGATACACATATAATAAATAGGTCCTCCTTCCTTGACCTTGCCTATTAAACACCCATATTCCATCGCTTATGTCACATTGATCCTGGAGGGCAACTGGGGCAGGCCTAAAATGGCTCCAAAAGACCGCTCTTACGCCAGCAAGCCAAGGCCAACAAAAGCCTGTTGCTTTGTTTTAAGGGGGGGGGAGTTTTTCTAGAATCAGAGGACCATCTTCTTAGCACAACTTAGTGTACAGAGAAATTGAAAGAAAAAACGAGGCACTTGCTATGAAATAGGAATCCCTTCAAATCCATGTTGGGCCAAACAGAAACTTCTGGGCAAAGAAGGGGACATGGGAGAAGTTTAAAACCACAGACCAGGGTATGAAATGAGGTTTCCCTTCAGCTTCGTCACACACATCTTCGTCTGATAAGTTGGACAGACTTTACACGAACTCTTCTCCGAATCCTGAACATGTAAAGATCTACAACCCTAAAACAATCTTTTCTTGTTCAACATGCAATGAGCGTCGTTATGATTTGACACCAGGACAACTGCAGCCCCAAGTGCAGGTTGTACCAAATGTTAGCCCTATTCAAGGCTGGACTCACTGAAATGAATGGGACTAATATGAGTCCATTTCATTTCAATGCGCCAGAGTAACATCTCATGGTTGCTAGGAATTGTAGAGTTTCTTCCTGCCTAAACACGCATGGGGCTGCAGTCTACAAGCTTTGTGACGCCTGGAACCCTATCACATTTATTCTGGCATAGGTTTTCACAGACTACTGTCCATTTCATCAGATTTATATACTGATGCTGGAGGAAGTAAGGTCAAGCGCATTGGTCAAGGGCAAATGAAACACCTCTGTCCTATCTGCACTCCGCCTTCTACATAAAGACATAAATCTGCAGAGGTAAGGTGAACCCTCCATGCATCCGATGAAGCAGGCAGCAGCTCACGAAAGCTGATGTCAGAACAAAGCTGCGACCCCCTTGCCTATTTAGACAGAAAAAAGACCTCCAAGTCCCAGCATTCCCCAGCCAGGCTAAACAGACAGAGGACTGCGTCCCTAAACAGTCCTCCGGGTGCCACAAGTCTCTTCGACGTCGCTGAGCACGGAAGAAGAATCCCGTGGGAAGCGAAGCCCGCCGGGGCCCGGCCGGCCGCGGTGACTCGGCATCTCGCTCCTCCCGACGAGCCCTTCCCGGCGCCGGCGCCGCCTCCCTTCCCCGGCGGCGGGAGAGGAGGAGGAGGAAGGGCGGCCGCCGGGCCCGGAGCCCCCCGCTCAGCCGATCCGCGCCAGCCCGCTCCTTTCCTTCGGCCCTACCTGCGTCTTCTCTACCAGGATCCCGATTTCCTCCATTTTTACCGCTGAACTCGAGGCCAGGCTGCTTTTCGCCGCTTCCGGGGAAGGCTCGCGGAAACTGGCGTAGAGGATTATGGGAACTGTAGTCCCGTAAGTCTGCCTCCCCCCCTTTGTATACATATTTTACGCGCACGTGCAAGCACGTATATGCGTGTATGTATATTTGTGTAGTGCACGAGCGCGCACACGCTGTGCTCGATAAAATAAATTATACCCAAACTGCAAAATCATACACCGCCCCCCCCCTCACAAAGCCAAGAACAAATGCCAGCCGGTAACAGCCATTTAAAAATCGTATTTATTTAGTATATTATGCTGTAAGCTGCCCAGAGAGCCTTTTGGCTAATGGGGCGGCATATAAATCGGATAAATAAATACATTTTCTGCCTTGTCTTTTTTCCTGCAAGGAACCCAAGCTGGCTTCCTTAATCCTTCTTCCATTCTTTCTTTTATTCTCACAGTGGCTGTTTTAAACTGCCCAGGCATCTTCACCTATTGGATTATGGAGAATATAAATAAATAAAGCAAGCCAGCAAGCAATCCTGTCTGATAGCTTAGGCTTAAACTCAGCTCAATGACTGACCCAAGGTTGCCCTCTGAACCTCATGGCCAAGCAAGGACTAGTCTCCAGAGGGCCAGCCCAGCCCAACACCCTAATCACATCCCAACACGTATTTTTAATTTTTAAGATGTTTGGATCTAGGCAGTTTATAAACTGGATACACTACTAAGTGGTTGTTTGATTCATTCAGGAGTGCATCCCCTGCACAGTGATTTACAAATGCACACAGGATTTCTTCTGGGACTCACACTCCACGCTTAAAGGAGGGGAGGGTTAACTTCATGCTTTTGCAATGCACAGTCTCTTTCCTCATAGTAAACCACAGCTGGGCAGTGGAGCACTGAGGTCATACCCCCAAATGCTCGACCCATTCCTTCCACCATTGCCCCAAAATATTCCTTTGCAAAATAGATACACAGAATAGATCTATTGGCCACACTATAAGATCATGAGAAGAGTCCATGGAGAGCCTTCTCCTCCACGAATTTGTGCAATTCGCGTTTAGAGCTGGCTAAATTTGTGGCTAGCAATGTCCTGTGGGAGCAGGGACTAGAAAATTAGTATAAAATTTCAGGGGAAAACCTGGTAAATTAAAAAGAAAGAAACAGCGACTTGTCTGAGGACAAAAGCTGCCCTTGGCATTTGTTTGTTTTTAATGATCCTTTAAATTTTCTTACTTTCCCCTCCACAGGCCTTCACATCTCTATTTGCCTGCAGATGCCCTGCGCTGTAAATGTTTCAAACCTAAAATAAACAAACACAATTTCCAGACAAAGCAAATTGTAAGTTAGGGGGGAAAAGTTTCTTCACTCCCGCTACCTTTTGTATTATGGGAGGAGCGGAGAGCAAACGCTGCCAATCACATGAACAGCAAAACCTTGGATTTCCTTCTCTATTTTGTATAAGCAGCTTTAGGAAAGCCATGGATGCAGCCGCCCCTCTGGCACCCCGTCCCTTTCTCCGGTCCTCCCTCGACATCTGGGGAGGGAAGGAGACCCACACTTTATCCCCGCCTTTTTTGCTTGACTGACACGCCAATGGGGCGAACACCTGCTCGGATTTCTGCTGATTGACACCGGCACTCAGCCACTCCCATCGCCGATGCTCTCCGACGAGAACGGAGAGCCGGGAGAGAATTCCACCCCGGGACCCCGCCCCCTCTTCTAAGGACTGACAAGAGGACAGTCCAATGACTTCCCCACGCCCGAGAGCCTGCTGCTCCGCCATTGGCCGCCGTGGGCGGGCACCGGGAGCGAGCGGCTCCTCCCGCATATGGTGGGTCTTTAACGGCAGGTAGGTGGGGAGGCGGGTTTCGGCGGCAGCGGCGGCGGCGGCCGCCGCGGGTGGGGGAGGGGATGGAGCGGCGGGGAGCGTGGCCGCCTGAGGGCGGCTTTCCCGCGGGGCCCGCGGGGGACGGAGGCGGCGGGGGCCCCGGACTGCTTGTGGGTCAGGAAAGGGACTGCCCGGCCTTGACGGGCTTCCTCCCTGGTTAGGGATTGGTACCCATTTGCCCTTCATCCAAGAGCATCTCTGCCAGTCTCTCCGTTCCTCTCTCGGCCCCCTTTGCACCGGCGGGGGCTTTTTACGGGCAGGGAAAGGCGCCTTTCAAAGGGCTACTGCGAGGGCTGCCAAGTGGCCAGTGGACAAAGGAGGAGGAGGAGGAGGAGGAGGAGGAGGAGGAGGAAAGCCTGGCCTGCTCCTGCGTCTTTGGTCAGGTGAAGCTTTTCATGGTTGGAGCTAAGCGGTGAAAGCTCTGCGTATTCCGGCAGATCAAACTTCAGTTAAAGCGATTGCCGATCGCTTTACCTGGCAAGCCTATCTTATTTATACAAATTAATTGTTTTAAACTATGCATATACAGGCTTTGCTTTTGCAAGCTTTATTTATTTATTTACTTACTCTCCTACAATATTGCTGCATATCCGAGTGGATTCTGGAGAGGAAAGCAATAAAAAGATAAAAACAGATGAAAGAATAGCAGCAATACATGAAAAGCAAGAAAACATTAAAACCTTGGCTCAGTAAAGATATTTTTAGCTGGTGTCAGAGTACTTCTGCACTGGCTCCAGCCTTCAAAGCGGTATTGCCTACAGCTCATTGCAGTAATCTAGTCCCATGGTCTTTGTTTTGTTTTGTTTATGACATCTGTATCCAGCCTTTCTTTCAGAAACATTCAAGGCATTGTGTAGTGTGCTTTGTATTGACAGTTTCATCCTCACAAGAACCTTGTAAGGTTGGTTAGGCTGAGAGACAGCGACTGGCCCAAGGTCACCCAGTGAGTCTCATGCCTGAACAGGGGTTTAGGGATGTACTTTCCCCTTGTTAGCCCAGTGCTAAATAAGCTTGTTCACATTTTGTTGAAAACCTGTAACTATGCATGCATGTTTGGGACTAAGCCTTGCAGAACACAGATTTACTTCTGAGTAAAAATGTAAGTGGATTCCTGTGCATGGCTGCAATCCTGTGGGTGCTTCCTTGTGGGTCACTCCTATGGCAGATAGCAGGACTTCTTAGGAAGTATAGGTTGGTGGAATTGTATCAAAAGGATGCAACAACCTGCTCACTTGGTAACTGAGATTCTTGTTGAGTAAACATGCAGTAAGATTTTTCTGCTTGACTACAATTAAGTTCTAGGCGGACTTAATTGAAAATAGGCCCCATCAAAATCAGTGGGATCTTCTCCATAGATGTGCATACAGCTGGACTGGAAAAACCAATGTGAGGTGCAATTTGTGTCCTGGGTGAATGTTTTTAATGTGGAATATAGCACAGATAAGGCCTAATTTTAAATGCATGGAATATTCTTGCAACTGCTGGGATTATTATTGAATGCCTGGGTACCCTGCTCTTTTTTGGGAGCAGCTTGGAATAGCTGACCATTATATGTGCTTTGTTTGGGCATGGAGTGATTGGCCATTTTCCCACCCTTTAATACCACACATGCTGCCTAGTTCTCTGGCAGTGTCCCACCAAGTCTGCTTCTGGGCCCTGTCTTGGTTTGAACTGCACCGTACACGTTCAGACAACAATCTGGGCCATTAATAGCAACAAAACTGATTCAAACTTCTTCAGTAAAAACAACCGTAGACCTGAATCAAATCTATAGGATTAAACCACAAATGGGGATAGAGATACTAGTTACATTTTAGAACTAGAGTAAGGGTTACTGCGATGATTTATACCCATTATACATTAGACCTGTAAAAATGTTAAGTCTTACTCCAGTTCAGGAGCACGACTCATATTTCCCACATTTAAGGAATAACTTATCCAGGAGGCTTTCTTGTAAAGCAACTAATGTGAAACCTAAATCTAGTGACTGGATATAGAGTGTGTCATTGCCCCAGTTTAGATGTAGTATCAGTCATGGTTTTGTGCTACGTGAATGCGTGCTGCTTTGGCACTTCCTTTCCTCCTTCCATGCACACCCAGAGAAAAACCAACTTTAAACTTCTAAGTTGCATCTAATAAGGGCAAACTATCATTAATTTAAACAATGGTTTATTGGAACAAGCAAAGATCAAACCAAATTAGCTGTAGCTCCTTCAAATCCCTCGCATTTATTGTGGTGGTTACCTTATCCTTCTTTATCCTTAGCTGCAAGTTCAAGAACTTGGAACTGCATTTACTCTTACACAATTGTAATACCTTTGCCTTTCCTTCTCCTCCTCCTGTTGTCTATTCCATTATCAGATTTAGATTATATACTCCTTGGGGATAGTGACCTTCTCACCCTTATTAAATATAAAACATGAAGTACATTGATGTAGCTATAAAAATTAATGACAATTTTCCCTGAAGCACTACATTCTGTAGAGTAGCTGGTTATCCATAAAAGTCAAGGAGCTTTTAATAAAGCATGGGTCACATCTTAATCTAAATTCTGATCACTTCAGATAACTAGAGGTAACAAACACTTACATTGTATAAGTTAGAATATCACTTGTTTAGTACATTGGGAAAGTAGGAAATGAGAAGCGGCATCAGAAGAAAGGAAAGCTTGTCCTGAAGGAGAAGGATGGCGATAGAGCTGTGTGCCTTGCCACAAAGCGCATTCAGTATGCTTAGGTGAACACGTGATAGCATCACCAGGGCTAATTGGTCCTCCTCAAGCACTTGCTTCACAGAATTCAGCCCACTTTACTACCTCTTCCTAGAATCTGGGAGAATGAAACAAACCAATGAATTCTTAGTACGGAAGCCACTTCATTACTCAGTCCCACTGGGATTGTCTCAAAGACATGAATCACCATGAGTGTGTTTGGATACACAATAGTGGATGGTGCCATGTTTGTTTTTGGATATACCAGTTTCCTGTTGCATTTGTCTTATCTTTACTATGTCTGCCTTTTCTTGCCTACCTTTTCTATGAGGTAGAGTGTTATTTCTTTTTCATACAAATGCAAACTTTTTGTTTCCTGTTGTCCTCTACTTTACATCTCAAGGAACATTCTGTAGGGAAGTCACCATGTATACAGTATACAATGAAAACATGAAAGTCCCTTTTTAATTGAACATGGCTAGAAATGGGCTATAGGAATAGGACTATAGGAATAGTCAGAAGAAAAGCATCTTTAGAATGACAGTTTCATTAGCTAAGGGGCTATGTGTCTCAGAAAATTAAGCATGGTATTTTCAGTTAAATGAGCCCGTGTGGTTTCTATTCAAATCCCACAGTTTGCCATGTCGAGGATGACTTGCAGGTGGGCTATGATATGCGGGATTTCAACTGGAAGATCTGAAACTACCAATGGATTGCCCTCTTTTTCCTGATCAATCATACCATTGGCACACCGACATTTTTGTTTGAATTTCTACTCCCTTCTTAACAAAAAACAAAAAAATAAAACAAAACAGAAAGAAACAAAGGGAGAGAATATGCAGAGGACAAAGCTCTTTTGTCTCAAATTGTTTCTGCAGAATTGTGGTCACAGCAGCTAGTTATACTGAGGTGAAAAACAAGCAGCTTTTGCTGAAATGTTCTTTCTACGTATACTACCTTGTAGCCTTCCTGTTTTCCCTCTATATTTGGATGTAGAATCAAAGAGTTGCAGGGGTTTCTGCATAGATCATCGAGTGCAGTCCCTTTCCTGATAAAGGAGAACCAGACCAAGGGGGCCTCCAACAGATAGTCTGCTTAAAGACTTCCAACAATGGAGAACCCCTTAGCCAAATAATTGGTCCAATAGTTGAACTGCTCTTCCCACTAAGAAGTTTCTCCTAATGTTAAGTTGAAATCTGCCTTCCTGTAACAAGCCCATTCTACCTTATCTTGTTCTCTGATAATTTTTTGTCATTTTCTATGTAGCAGCCTTTCAGGTATTTGAAGAACACTGCTCTGTACTCCCTCAGTCCTTTCTTCCTTAAGCTAAACATACCCAGTTTCTTCAACCTTTTCTCACAGGACTTGTTTTCTATACTGCTGATAATCTTTGTTGCCATCCTAAGAACCTATTTCAGTTTGTTTAGTACCAAGAACCAGACTCAAATGGAACTGTTTTTGTGATGGAAAATTATGTGTCTTTTATTTCAGTCATATTAGCCTTTTTGCAGCCTTGAGAAATGGACATGCAGAATAAAGGTTTTTTTTTTAAATAATGAATCTTATTATTCCAGGTTGGGATTAAAAGTTGGTGTTTGGGAGTAAAACAGTTGAAAACTTCTGGGTAGTGAACAGAGCTCAGACTTTTGAGGTTGAGTGGCCAGTCACACACTGTCAGCATAACCTACCTCACAATGTTGTTTTAAGGCTAAAGGGGAAATTACTGTGCAAGTTGCCCTTTGCTACTTGGAAGGCTGGTAGGATACAAATAATTAACCAGTATTCCTACTATCAGCATTATATGTTTAGGCACCTGAGCATCCAAGATTTGTCCGATGCTAGTTAGAGACAAACACATTTTTCCTGTTTCAATGTGGGAGATGATGCAAGTTGATTGCCATTTAATATAAGTATATGCAATCCCATTTTCCTGAAACTGGGTGTATATATAAGCCCAATGACTGGTGTGCTGGGTTAAACACTGTGTTTTTGTAAACTGAGCTTCCTTCCCACAGGAGAAGCAGCACTTTGATTGAAACTTCTTGCAAGTTGCTACCCTGCCTTGTATTGAATGCTCTTCATCTGGTATGAGTAGAAAGATGTAGCTATTGTGGTTGCTATGAATTTGGATTCCCGAGTTTGGAAGCTGCATCATCAATACCTGTATGAATGACATACGGAGTTGGGTCAAGCATCACCTGTGAAGGATTCCCATGGAAACTAGCAGCCCTGAACTTTGTTGCATTTAAATTTCCTTCTCTTATATCTGACCCACTACTATTTGAACTTCTGTATAAACATCTGACAATAAAACTGTTTGGTTTCCCTTAATAACAATGAGGCGCGACAGACCACAGGAACGGGCGGCCAGCTGGCCTGCAGAGCACATAAAGGTGCTCCTTGCCCTGTGGACGGAGGCAGCGGTCACTCATGATCTTAGCTCACATGGGAGGAACCGTGCAGTCTATGATGGTATTTCTCAGCGTCTTGCAGAAATGGGCATTTACCGAACCGGGGACCAGTGCCGGGAGAAAATGAAAGGCCTGAAAGTGGCTTATCGCAAAGCTAAAGAAAATAACTCAGTCGGGCGGCCACCCATCAAATGCCCATTCTATGATGAGATCGACCAGATAATGACACAGTATATAAACTGCAGGCCAGGCTTTCCCACCGAGGTTGGTGAGGGATCCAGTGTCATTGCAGACAGACAGGAAGGCCTCTCCATCTCTGAGCCCTGGGGGAACCAATCTGGCATCTCTGAACGTTGGGGTTCCCAGGCCTCTGGGCACTGGTTGGCACAGACGGCTGCCTCTGAAAGCCAAGGGACTGATGAATTCAGCTATGCCCAGGCAGAGTCCCAGGATGCTTTTGGTGAGATCCAAGTCATCCCAGTTCAGGTGAAGGAAGAGGAATCGGAAGATGAAATATCACCTGAACTGGGTAAGCTCCCTTATTCATTTTGCCTGGGTATGTGTCAACAGAGCTCCTGCTGAAGGATAATTCAGGTGGGGCTGGCATCCTTTGTAGAATATACTGCGTTAGTCCTTTGATTTTGACATGTTTGCTTAAGACTATTTTATTAGGCCTTTAGTCTCCAATGCACTTCCTGTATAACCTTATCATTGGTACCCCTCAAGCATGGGCTCTTTTCCACTTCTCCTTAGAAGACAATCCATATGTTTCACAAGATCTGATCTCTTCCCCTCATCCCACTTTATCACAGTCTTCATAACTATCACAACATCTTTTGCTGCTGTCTTAAGTCAAACAACCCAAAGCTAAACTTCAATCCTTTAAGTCACACACTTCCTGAAAGAATGTCTTCCTTGCAAGAGGCATCTATGATAATACCTGGTGAGAATGAGTAGCCACATCTGGCTCCATATCTTGATTACTTGATCTATAGCCATCACTTTGAGTTGTAGTATCTTCTTGTATAGATAACATGCCGTTCATTTATTTTAAAATAATTTAGGGCATTTTTAAGGATAAAAGCTGTCTCAAGGTGGATTATGCTAAGATGTAGGCGTATATTTCCAATTTATGGAATCTATTTTGCTTTAGTTACAACTTCAAGATCCAAACAATGCCAGATACAAAATAGTGGCATGGGTTGGGGAGCAGAAATACATTTAAAATTAAAGGAAAGGTTAGGAGTTGGAATAGGAATGCCCTTGGCACCTCAGAGCACGTGCTTAGCACCAGAAGTCAATTCAAAGTCCTTCACAAATAACAAAAAGCCCCACCCATCACAAGCTTTCTTGGGTTCAGTAGCTTAATGTAGGTGCCTCCAAAAATACCTCTTTGTTATAACTATTTTGAACTATTAGGGATTCAGAACATAACAAAACTGGCTGCTCCAGTGCAGATCTCCTGGAGATGAATTAATCCCAGTCTATCCTCTGCCCACTCCTGTGTTATATGACAAACTAATGCAATAGACCTCAAGAGGTAATTTTAAAAGCAGTGATAATAAAATAACCACCCACTACAGATAATAACAAGATACAATGCATACTTTAAACTAAACTAACATACTTAGCCAAAAACTATCAATACTCAACAAAACAAAACAAAACAAAACCCACTCCAGAAAAGTTAAAAGAGAAATGGGTCTTAAGGGTTTTTCTAAGAGCCTATAATGATGGGGTCTGTGTGACCCCAAATGGCAATGAATTTCAAAGGAGTGAGACCACTGTAGAAAAGGTATTCTTTCTGAGTTATCTCACTATGAGGGTATTGCTTTTGTTTTAACAACCCTGGATAAAATTATGCATGGTATGGAGAAAATGGATGAAGACGCTTTTTCCATACCATGCTCATTTTTTAAGACTTCTGTTATGTTTGCCCACAGTTGCTTTTTCTCTAAGCTAAACAGTTCCAACAGTTGTAATCTTTCCTCACAGGGGAGTTGTTCCAGCCACTTGAGATCATTTTGGTTGCCCTTTTCTGAATCTTTTTAAAATCAGCAGCATCCTTTTTGAGGTGCTTTGACCAGAACTGTCACAATATTCCATGTAGTTGTACCATGCTTTTGAGCAAGGGTGTTATTTGATTTTCAATTCCTTTTCTAATTATGCTTAAAATTAGGTCTTCCTTTTTGTAACACAGGGTCAACATTTTCATCAAGCTATCCACCACAACCCCAAGATTTCTTCCTAAGTTACTGCCAGCTCAAGTCCCATCAACATATATGTAAAGTTGGGATAGTTTTGCACTGACATGCATTGCTTTATAGTAGTGTATTTGGAACTGCATTTGCCATTTTAAATATAATTCTTCCATTTTAAAGAGATTCCCTCAGGTTCGGAGCTTTTTTCTTTTAAACATTCTAAATGTTTTGGAGTCATCAGCAAACTTTGCTACTTCACTGCTCAATCCTATTTGCAGTTCCTTTATTAACAATTTAAAAGCACTTTCCCCAAAAGAGATCCTTGTGGAACTCCACTATTTCTATCCTTCCAGAATTGAGCATTCATCTAATTAGCTGTTTGTTCTTTAGCTATTTGTAAGAGGACATCTCCTCTTACACTATGACTGCTAAATTTGCTTGGGAGTTTTCGGTGAAGGGCTTAGTCAAAACTCTTCAAAGTCCAAGGAAACACCAGATCAGCCCATTTATGTGTTTATTCACACTCTCAGAGAACATGAAAAAGTTTGTAAGACAGGACATCTGCTTGTGGAAGCTATGCTTATTCTTGTTGTTTAATATGTTTGATCATTCTATTTTGTCATTGACTGTGGTTTTCCCAACTAGAAGGTATCTTGCGTATATATACATAGTTGCATTTTTCTAGCTATTCACTGAGTTTTGCTGCTTTCATTTTAGACGTGGCCTCACCTATAGTAATGGAGACCCAACCTGCACCAAGGCATCTCATCTCAATGCTTGACCAACGCCCCCATCTCCGAACCCGTAAGCAAAAGGCTCAGGGGGATGGGCAGTCAGGCTACCAAAGGGGCACTGGCCAGAAGTGTAACCGTTCACATCAGCTGGAGCTGCAGCGGATGCAAAGACAGGTTGCTAGCCATGCAGAAGAGAAGCAGAGTTTAGCAGAGTTTATCCAACATGATAAGGAGATGCGCCGTGAGGATAGGGAGTTTCAGGCCCAGCTCTTTGAGAAGCTGTTTCAGAAACAAACCGAACTTGTCCAGGTGCTAACCCAGCGACCACCCGCCAATCCTACCTCCACTGCCTGTACCAATGCTCTACAGACCTTGCAGCTGCCCACAAAGAATGGAGCAGGAACAGCTGCAGGCCCTGGCTCACAGCTGCAGGCTTTGCTTGAGCAGATCATGCAAGCTGAAGTATCAGGGAAGGGCCTAACCAGACTTGCAGTGAAGGAAGCACTTGGAGGCGCTGTGAAGGTGCCTCCCGAAGTACAGTACTGGACTGCTGAAGAGATCCTGAGATGGCTGCTGTCTCAGCAGTCTCCTGGAGACCAGTGCCAAGACGGGCTGACAGGCCCAAAGCTGCCTCCTGTTGCTGGCCACATGGGTGCAACCAAACAGGCTGAGCACCCAGAGGCACAGCTTGCTCTTTTGAATCCACTGTGTGATTCCTACCAGAATTCTGGACAGCACGGTAAAGGCCAACTCCATGCCAACGCCCAGCAACTGTACAGCAGCCATTGTCCCAAAGCACTGGAGACAGACACAGACTTAGAGGTGCAGCGCCAGTCATTCAGGCAGTTCCGGTACCAGGAAGCCCAGGGACCCCAGGAGGTTTACAGGTGCCTGTGGCACCTTTCCCATCAGTGGCTGAGGCCAGAGGTCCGTACCAAAGAGCAGATCATGGAGCTGCTGGTTGTTGAGCAGTTTTTGAGTATCCTACCTGAGGAGATCCAAACTTTGGTACGTGAATGTCAACCAGAAAATGGCAAGGAGGCTGTGGCCCTGGCAGAGAGGTTCCAGCTTCATTTTGAGTCCAAGAGGCAACGGGACCAGGTAAGATTGTGTTGTGAGTTCGTTCTCACATTTGCTTGGGGCTGGGAGAACATGAACCCTCACACATCTTTCTAAAGGAGTCTAGTCCTAGCAATTTTATCCTTTCAGTGAAAATTTTTAGTCCAGTTTTTTTAAAAAAGGGGGACACAGACTTCAGGCCGATGACACAGAAGCCTGCCTTCTAATTCATGGAAGTCATACCTGCAATTGTCTTTGGTCCCTAGGATTTAGGAAACACTGCATGGCTATCCAAGTTTTTTCTGGACAGATCTGACAACCTGAACTTGCTTTTTTAAAACGGGCATTCTCATAAGTATAAAATAATCAGATTCCGAACAAACGCATTCATGTTGGTAGAATACACTCAGGTTTATTAAAAGCATTTAGAAGGGCATGCAGTAGGATTCAATCCTGCCAGAATGTAGTGGCTCCCTCAGTAGGGCTCAAAACTTCAGATCCCAAGCAACGAACGGTAAGTTCTAATCTGCTGTGTGCCTCCATGGTCACACATAAAGCTCTGGCAACCTTGGTAGAACTGAATGGAACTGAGCAACAGATGATGGATGCAGGTTTGGCATTCTTATTGTTCCAGACTCGGGTGGCGTCTGATGACATGGTTGCAGATTCCCCTCAAGAGTTGGATGAAGATCAGAAACAGCCTTGCATCAAAGACAGTAAAGAGAACCCTAGGAGGGCTAGCTTACTTGGTAAGGTTTTGCTTTAAGGATTGCTTTAAGCCCTTGATTTGATAGCTTTGATCTCTTCCCTGATCTTCTAGTTTAATGGGATTACTTGCTATAGCCTTCAACCAGAAAGATGAAGCTATCATTCTAGAGAATTTCTACTTAATTCTTTTCCCTACCTTGCTGCCATTTGCATACTGTAAAGTCTCTAAATTGAATTATACTATATGACCAGTTTTTCCTGTTTATGCATCATGCTGTGAGAGACCACCCCATACTACCTTCTCAAGAGAAGCAAGTCCAGTAGATTCTGAACTGAGAGATTGATGGTCTCGTGAATTATTGATGTTCAGAACAAGAAAAGTGGTTTTGCAAGGGATCTCTGACTGTCCAAATTGCCCTTATAGCATTAGGATGTCGCACTAGGATAGCCTCACTCAAAATTCACTTAATCTCATTTAGCAACTCAGTTATCAGCACACCTTGGATTCTAATTTAAACAGCACCTTGGATGAGATCAAAAGTTTAGTTAGCCCAGTAACTGAAGCAAGGCCATCTGTGCAGCAGCATGCATTCCAGAGAGAAGAGCCAGTAATTAAAATAGCTCTGCGTGATTCATGCAAGTCATTTTATGGGGAAAGGCAAATTATCCCCAGGTTCGCTGGCCAGTCAGATTTTTGGGAGAAGGGACCCTGTCTCATGCTAGAAGGAGTTCCTTAATACTAGTAGCTATGAAAGGGGATTAAACGCATTCGTAAAGGTTAGTCACGGTCACAGATACCTCCAGTATGCCTCTGTACACCAGTTACTGGGGAAACACGAGCAGGACAGTGCTGTTATGCTCATGTTCTACTGGTGGACGTCCCACAGGCAACTGATCGGCTACTGCATGAATAGAAAGCTGGATCCTTAGTCTTTATGGGCATGGTTATATTCTTAATAAAACCATATATCCTAAATAATAAAAATATTCTTTTCTTATTCTTTACAAGCCATTGTAAAGGAAATGTTTTTGCAGACAGGTGTTTGAAATGTAGCAAAAATATGTTTCTTTGAGTACTTGAGGAAGACAAGCACTGATGTCACTCTTCAAATATTGAAAATATATTTACAGCAAGATTAATCTCTTCTAGGGAAACTGTAGTAAGTGCCACTTACTGGGTAGGCATTGAACAAATCACTTTCCCTCAGCATCTGTTCTTCGGCTATATTATGAGGATAATTCTGCATACCTTAAGGCTTTTATTTATTATTTATTATTTATTAAAAGCCTTTCTACCCCATCCTTCACTGAGGTCTTATGAGGATGAAGGAAGACTGCCAAGCGTTTTTCACATTCTTAACTATTCATAATTATTTTTGATGTATCAAGGCCCTTGCTGAGCATTTGTATCTTCAGAAACCTGTTAAATAGGGCAGAATGATCCTCCAGGGTTTGAGCCCTGCTACATATATGGGCCTGGCACCAAAGATTCCCCACTTCTGATTCCCAGCCTAGGGCCTTAACCACAAGCCCATCTGTTATTTTTCTATCTTGGCAGGTCTCTCAAGATAAACTTATTCTCCATCTTCAGGTACAGAAGTGCACCTTCGGCTGAGGAAGAGACCAAAGTCAGGTCCGAGGGAACAGATTGTGCCCAAACAGGATGGAGAACATGGAGAGTCAGCAACAAAGCAAAGGAAGATGGACAGTAGCTTAGAGGAGCAAGAGGCAACTGAGGCTGGGGAGAAGACAAAGCAAATACCAGCCCCTCTGCCAGGAAAGCAGGCTGGGAAAACAAAAGGTCGGGGAAGATCTGTTCTAGGGAGTAATGTTGTTGTGGCTGGGGAGAACCAGATTAAGGGGGAAGCCAAGATAGAGGGCACTGGCAGAGTCTCAGAATCTCTGAATGGGGTGCATTCTTCCAGTGCATTGGGCGAGCAGAAGGCATCAGCTGGCCTTGGACCATCTCAGTTGGTTTTTGACAAGGATGTTATTGTGTCCAGCCCCCAACGTGGGAATGATGGTCACCTGTCTCCTGAGGTAGATGGACCTTCACTCAGTGACAGCATGGACATTTTACTGGATTCCCCCTGGAGTGGAAACGGCAGTGGTGAAACAACTCACAATGGGCCGTCTGGTTCTAGGATGCTGCCACCTTGTACTAGCTGCACCGTGTTGAAGGCTGAGCTGGATGCCGTACGCGAAGAGCTCAGACTAACTCAAGGTAACGCCATAGGTGAGAGTGGGGAGTATCTGCTTCAGGGTGAGAGCCTTTCAGTCCTCTCCGCCTTGTTTCCAAGAACCTGTATAGTGACTATGTGCACAGGTGACAGACAATAGACCTCTTTTGCATGGCTATTGCCTACTATTATTCCCGTTTTATTTTTGTTCATTATGGGCACAGAGGCAGCGGTTCCATTTCAGAACAAAAATCTTGTAGTCTTTCCAGAAGAATGTGTCCATCTCGGAGGTTGTCAGCAACACCAGCACTCCCTATAGGGATTCCCTTCAGTCAGAACACTCAGCAGCATTTACCATGGGATCACCATTGTGATGCTGATTGGCACAGCAGGGGAGAATGAAAGGGGTGAATACCAGTGTGACAGATGGCATATGCTTCCTTGAGTGGGTCTTTTGCCAGAAGGACAATTTAATATATACCTAAAAAGTTTCATATACTATAAAACTGTATAAAAACAATCCCAGCTTGCAATCTGAATGCAAGCAAATAATTTTTTTTGAAGAGATGCTCAGGATGGGACAGATGATATGCTGTGATGGCCTGGAAAAGTCTTTGCAGATATGGAGATATTGAACAGTATCAGAAGAACAGAAGGCAGATGGTGGGCAAACAGATGGAGGCTATTACAGATAGAGAGAGCAGCAGATCAGTGATACAAGGTGAGATGTGAACACTGGCAGCTTTCAGAAGGAAGATAAGATATACTTGGAATAGACAGGTTTACATTTACGGTTTTAGAATCTGGGTTGATCCACAGAATCTCTATAGCACTGTGAAGAGAGGTGAGGCTAGACTATCATGAAGAGGAGAGAAAGAAAGATTGTCTAAAGAAAGATAGGAAGAAGATTCCAGATCCTAATGAGAATAGCTAGCAACACTCCCTGGCAATCACTGTGTCTGCTGATAACCCTTACATCTTTTTTTTAATAAAGCTTCCACACTGTATGGGCTGAGTGGTGCCTCTTTACAAGACTTATCAGAGGCTCTTGGCACTGTAGTGCACATCCTCAACAACAGGAAGTCTCCATCAGCAACAAGAGCATCCCAGAACATCCCGGAAATCCCCAGTAGGCCTGTATGGCGAGAGAGAAATGTAAGTCTCCCCTCCATGCTATAATCTGTGTTTAAAAACAACTTTCTTCAAAAGCAGGAATATTATGTCTCTCCACACCGAAGCCTGGCAAAAGGAGAGAGCGCAGTGACAAGAATGTGGGAATAGCAGAAATGCCATCCCAAAACTTTTTGGCTTTGCTGCTCGTGCTGTATGATAGACTATGCTGTTTCCTTAGAGAGAACAGATCTCAACACGTAGAAAGATCTTAAATGTAGGAACTCTGATCTGATGATGGTGGAGCCAAGGATTCCCTTTTCTCTTGATCTAGAAAATCCATAATACAATCCTTGGAATGCTCAGACTTCATGGCTTCAGGGGCAACTCTTTTTGGAAACAGGCCAGGCCAAAGTTCAGTTTCCAGTACACTTTTTCAATTTTAAGATGAGAAAGACGCTATTTTTGAATGCCATGAATAAGTTGAAGAAGCAACCACAAAAAGGAGTTTGGAGGCTTTGGCTTCCACCTTTGCTCAAATGTGATTTATTGTTTCACCTGAATCAACAAACTCTGGGTAGGGTTAATAACAAACGTGTGCAAAGAAAACAAATTACCAAGTCAGTGTGAGTGTAGTGGTTAAAAGCACAGGACTGGGACTAGAGCTCCTGCTTGGCCATGGAGCTGATTGACTTTGGGCGAGTCACAGACACTCAGCCCAACCTACATCACAGGGTTGTTGTTGTGGATATAATACTAAGAGCCAGTGTGGTGTAGTGGTTAAGAGCATGGGACTGGGACTCAGACGATCTGGGTTCTAGTCCCCACTCAGCCATGGAGCCAACTGGGTGACTTTGGGCCAGTCACAGACTCTCAGCCCAACCTACCTCACAGGGTTGTTGTGGTGGGGATAAGATGGAGGAGGAGATGTAAGCTGCCTTGAGCCCTTTGTAGGAAAAAGGCAGGATATAAATCAGTCAATCAATATATAGCAGGAAGAGGAGAATGAAGTGAGCAACTCTGAGTTCTTTAAAAAGAAAAAGGTGGGAAATTAATAAGTCACAGTGCCTATTTATTGTGTGCTTTGCCTGGCTTTTTATTTTTTTGGAGTAAATTATCCTTCAAGTTAATACCGCTAGTATTAACTGAATCCCCTTCAGCAATTGAACATTAAATCGTGATAAAAAAGAAGCAAAAGCTTCTGAATGCCACCTCCCAGCTGTGCCAAAGAACGAAAGTGGGGAGGAGGACATGACCCCACGTCGTGCCGCAGCTTGTTCATAGCACGCTAAACCATGCAATGGGTAGGATTCTGATGCCTTGTTCAGATATGGAGACATGCTGGACATAAAGTAGGCTATGGTAAAGCCACTGAGGGAAAAAGAAGGAAGCTTACCAAGCAGGCAGCATGGAGGTTTCTCCTAGCCCCATTTTTGTGCATATTTGAGCAATGGGAAATCACTCTATCTCTGATGAAATAGTGCATTGCATCCCAGTATGTTGTTTTCACTTCCACTGATTAATGGCCAGTGGCTTCCCATTTTTCATGAAATCAGATGTGACACCGACTTAGCTGGGCATCTTTCTCTTAATTCATAGTCATAGCTTTGCAGATCGTTTCCCCCTTTTTATCCTTAACAGTGCATCTTAAAAGCCTAGAATATCTCTTCTAGGTTACTTATGGGAAATGGAGGAGAAACGTTCCACTTTTGAGGACCGTTAGAAAGGACATTTGATTTGGGGAAGGGGGGGAGCAATTTTTCTGTTGCCTGTGGGCTGTTTTCATTTTCTGAACAAACCAAATGTAATGTAGATGAAATTGTGCTTGACTACTAATACTTTTTACCCTCTTCCGTAGCATTTCTGAAACGTCACAAGGGCCGAATTTACCCCAGCACCAAGAAATTCAACAGCAATATTGACAACATTAGGATGAGGTCCGATTTTTAAAAAAGCACCTCAGCTTTTGATTGTCTGAGACTTATAACTGACCTTGCTACACTCATTCTTTCCCCCACTCCCATAGATCATGTAAGTTCCTCAGGCTGCAGCAAGCTCTGGAGCCGACGCTCTTTGCTTGCTGTAGTGCAGATGCTGATTGTCATGACTCTGTCTTTTTAATGTTACCCTAGGTTTTGTGCGTTTGTGTTTTTATACAGTAGTAGCTGTTTCTTCCCTTTCCTGCTTAGGTATAAAACCTCTAAATAAAGCAACTGGGAATGATTTTCTGTACTGTCTGTGAGCAATAAATAGCATGCATGCTGAGCCACTTGACACGAACACCGAGGGGTTGTGGATGCTCCTCCTTATTCAAGTCTAAAATCATAATTTCTGTATAAAAGGCTTTCAAAGGGAATCTTGGGCTGGGCAAAGGCCTTTGAATGATTTGGTTTGTTTTTATATAACTTGAAAAGGTCTCAGTGTTTTTGGTTTTGAAGTATTTCTCATTACACCTCCTCATGTAAAATAATTAAAATGGCCGTTTTATTAAGTGGTTGATTCCTCCCATCGACCACTGAATAAAATCTAGATTTAACATGCCATCAGTGCGCAAAGTGGCTGGCAGCATAAGTGGCACAAGCAGAGGCCCCTGTTCCAAGCAACATACAGTTCCAAGTTTGATGGTGTGGTAAAAGAGGGGAGGGATGGAAACAAATGTAATTATGCGTATTTAGATCTCAGTGGAGTTGAGGATAAAGAATGATTTGTTGCAGTTCTACTCTTAAAAGTCAGGGCTGACTTCTGATGCTAAGTTTTTACAGAAACAAGGATTGACAGTGAGCCAAGTATTTGTCTGTGACCTGGATAGATAGTGCTGCCTTATGCCCCCCTGGTTTATCTGTTCTGGTGGCTGGGGACTGCCTGCAGTGTTGGATAAGGGTTTCCCCACCTTTTTAGTTGAAAGCCATAGAATCAAAGCAGGGATTCAGTGGGCATTGAACAAATTCATGGAGGATAAAGCAATCAGTGGCTACTTGTCCTGATAGCCTTATGATACACCTTATGCTAAGTAGGCCGCTCCTGTAGGATGACCTGGACTGACAGTGGAGAAAATGGCAAGTCCCGCCCTTTCCAATGACTGACATGGTGCTAGGCCACTCCAACTTGACACTGAACCTTTCAAGTCTCCAGTTTTGACAACCAGACTGATCTCTCTCCTGCACTCAAATCTAGTATCACAGGTTTTATTATTCGAAACATGGGCCTGTGACCTGAGAATGAGGGAAATAAGTTGCATGTGCATTACTTCCGGGAGTGTAGGAGCTAAATTCAAAATGAGAAAACTTCTCTTTTCTCAATCTCCATGGTGCCTCATCTTCTTTATGTACATTCTGTGCAAAGAATTTTGTTTAGAGTTAGAATTTATAAGCAGGTTGAACAGGCTTGAACCAGGCAGGACAAAGGATTAAAAAAAAAAATGATGTTCCATGTGTTGGTTCACCTCAGCCTTCTCCAACAGGTGTCCTTCAAATGCTTTGGATGTCAGCTCTCAGCCACACCAGCCAGCATGTCTAATGGATGGGGATTATGGGAGTTGAGGAGAACTGTTAACCATGATGTCAGAAGGGCATTGAATGCATATACAAATCACCATAACAATATTATCAGAAAATGGCAACTTTCCTAATCAAAACTCCTGGCATTTGATAGGATTCCCCAAGCTAAAATTCTCCTAAAGTTTTGGATTTCGAGTCTCAACACCAGCCATCATGGCTGGCAGAAGGGGATTATGGGAGTTGTAGTCCGAAGCATCAGGTGGACGACGGGTTGGAAAACGTCGGCACACCAAGTGCCGTGATACGGGTGCCAGCCGTAGGGGCTGTTCCGCGCATGGCTCCCGCTAGCAACGCACTTGCCGGGGCTCTGCGCAAATGGGCGAGCGGCCCTCGGGACGGACGACCCCCAGCGGCTCCGCCCAAGCCCGCGCGCGCCTCCCCCCCCCCGGAGGACCCCAAGCGCCCCCTGGCGCGCCGACTCCCCCGCGCTCTGTTCAACGCTCCTGTCGCGCTGCCACCGCAGGGGCGTCCCCGCAGTCGCGCTGCACCGAGGCGCGCGGGCCCCGGGCCGGGGGCAGAAACCCACCGCAAGGAAGCCGTCCGCCTCCGCCGAAGGAGCGAGGCCGCGCCCCTCCCGCGCCAAGCGCATGCGCGCCGAGTCCCAGCGCAGGCACGGTCGCGCCTGCTCTTCCCCCGGAAGTGGCTCCGGAAGTTCCGGAGGCGGGCCAGAGGGTCGCGAGCGGGCCTTGGTAAGGGCAGGTAAGCGGGGGCCGTCGCTGCCGCCGGGGGGATTCGGCCGCTGGCTCCAGGACGAGAGGGGCGCTCGTGGCCGGGGCTCGTGTCCCGTCGCAGGCAGGGAAAGAAAGCGGGTGGGTCGAGGAGAGCTAGTGGTTGCCTTTCCTTTGGAGGCCAACACCAGCCCCACCTTTGTTGTGCGGGGACGCGGTGGGCGGGGGGAGAATTCGAATTAAGGTGTGCTCGTGCAGCGACGCTTAAATTGCTTCAAGGTGCTCCCCCCACCAACTACCTCCCGCTTCCCCGGGCTTGACGTTCCCGTCGTGCAAAGATCTCGGACTTCTGTTCCATTTCAGAGAAGGAAGGCAAGCAAGCCCGCCTGTAGTGTTTCTGCCAAATTCACACGCCAAGCCGGAATCGATTTCTGTTTTGGTCCAGGTTTCGTAATGCTTCCTGGGCCAAGAGACAGAAACGGGTACGATCGCGGCCGTGTTTTCGGGCTGCGGTCCTAAACGCGCTTACTTGCGCATTTGCGATAGTCGCAAATCTTCCCGTAAGCAACGGTCAGTCGTGGCGCGAAGTAGGCAGGAAAGACGCGGGCAGGCAGTGTTTTGTGTAGCATTCCCTTGGGAAAGGCAGGGGAGGAAATGACGCGGTTCCTCAAGAAGTTGTGCAAGAGCGTGTTAATCCGGCGTGAATTTAGTCTGGAAGAAGCCTCGCTGAATCTCCATTGGGATTTATGTCCGAAGGAAGATGCCTAGAAATGGGGCTGTGTTGTTTAGAAACTGGGTTGTACTTACACTGCTTTGTATTCTTGCTGGGGTTTTCTATGTACTTGATTTCTGTTCAGTTGTTTCTGTTTTGCCCTGCTGTGTTCCTTATTTGTTATTTGGCTCTTTTTGGCTTCTGCTTTACAGTTAAAAGTAGGCTAAACAGTTCTGTTAAAGTTTGTGCAGCAAAAGTAAAAAAAATTGAAAAAAGGTGCCAGATATGTGGATATAGATAATTATTATAATCCTGTATCGACACATGTACGAATAAGCTACATTAGATGTAATTGTACTTCTGAATAAATCAGTTTGTGTGTTTTTTTTAAGCATTACAATTCTCTGAACTTAAGGCTGCCTTTTAACTCCATACCAGCCACTATTTATTTACTTAACTACATTTATATCCTGCCTTTACTTTCCTGTGAAAAAGCCATGGTATGATCTATCATCTCTTCAGTTTATTCTCTCAACAACCCTGTGAGATATGTTAGACTGAGAGTCAGTAATTGGCCTAAAGGCATCCAGTGAATTTCATGACCAATGAAATTAGACTAGAATCTAGGATTCTTAAGTCCTTGTGCATCATTCTGACTACTGCACAGCACTAGTCACAAAAAGATGGCTGTCCTCCAGCGAGCTGGTAGAGAGTCTCTTTCATATGGTAACCTGCAGTATTTCTTTCTGGGTTTCCTCCATTAACACACCACTCCCTGGCATGCAGTTCCTCCCATGGGTCCCTATAGATATTTTGGAGAGTCAGTGTGGTTAAAAGCATGGGACTGGGATTCAGGTGATCTGGGTTCTAGTCCCCACTCAGCCATGAAGCTGGGTGACTTTGGGCCAGTCACAGACTTTCAGCGCAACCTACCTCACAGGGTTGTTGTTAGGATAAGAAGAGAATTATGTAAACTGCCTTGAGTTCCTCGAAAAGGTGAGGTATAAATATAACAAACAGTAGCTCCTATCATTTTTCACTTTTACTGGCTGAGGCTGATGGGAATGAGAGGCCAAAACAGCTGGAGGGCACCACACTTGGGGAAAGGTGCCCTATGGGACCTGATTTTTATAGTAGGCACTTATGGCTGCAAGGCTATTGTTTAAATACAGGCCTGACTTAGGGGATTCAACTGAAATGGGGATGGTAGGCCCTTAAGGTCAGATTTTTGCAGATTTGCAATCCTTCTGCACTCCATATTCCAAATTATAGCTGGCATTTGGTGTGTTGACCTGTATCTTGACCTAATCTCTCTGTTGGGTCACCGCTTACTAAAGATAAGCATCCTTGCATGGTTGAATGCAAAGAAAAATGACATTTTGGAGTGAAAACCAAGGATGCTGTCGGAATCACCAACTTTACACACAAAGGGTTTTTTTTTTTAAGGTGGGGGTAAAAGAGTGTTTTGAGTCTCCACTTGGGGCCAGAAACATATTGCTGCCTCAGAGAACAGCCTCAGTTTTCCTGCAAGTGTAGGTAGAAGAGAATAATGGGAAAGGAAGTGGTTGAGAGATAACACTTAGGAGAAAAAAGCTCAGTCCTTTCTGGAGTCTGGTAATGTAATAATATTAGGAAGAATGAACTTTCTATATCTGGTCAGATCCTGCTTGATTAGCTCAGTGTTGGCTGGCAGGAGTACCTTGGGCTCTTGGACAGAGGTCTGTTCCCTCACTGGCTATCTGTCCTTTTTCAATCAGAGATGCCAGGAACTAAATACAGAATCTTCTGCATATGAAGCAGGAGCCCAAAGCTGTGGGACCTTTTCATTTCTGCCAGTTTGGATCTGACCTTACTCTCATTGATATCTAACCAAACTCGCTGTGCTGAAACATGACTTGAATGTGAATGTCTATACTCAAGGCTTTTTTCCCCTTTCATACATGTTCACCCACCCCACCTTGCAGAATTTTCTCCAAGAAAAGAAAACACAGCACCTGTGGGGGGAGTCTGTTCCCCAGATATCCTAACATAACTGAAGGGTTGGCAAACAGACTTGCCAGAAGAATGGCTACCAAAGTGCAAGAGCAGAGCTTGGATGCCTCTTGCACTGACCCAGCAGAGGAGGGGGATCCCAGTAATGGCATTGTGGCCAAGCATCAGGACTTGGATAGGGGCGAGCCCAAGGCAAACGGTGAATGTTCACGAGCAGGAGCCAAACATTCGGAGATGCCAGCACAGCCTGCCGATCAGGGGGAAGCCGCAAGCTTGCAGGGCAAGCAAGAAGAGGAGCCAAAGCCGGAGGCCTCCTTGGTGCCTCCTCTGGCAGAGGGCGCGGTACCAGTTGCTGTGCCACCTTTGGGAGAAGGGAAAGGGGCCAAGCGGATGATGGAGGATGATGTGGATGCTGACAATTACAAAGAAATGCCTGATGTCTGCCAGGAAGCGAGAGAACCGGGCCGGGCTATGCTTTTGCCAGATCTCTTTGGAGATGCTGAACATGCTCACAGCAGCCTGGATGTTGGTAGGGCTGGCGGCTGTGCCAAGGTGGAGCAAGCGGTCCCTTGCCTCTCCAACATGGGCTCGGAGAATCAGCGCAAGCGCTTCCGGGGCTTTGCCTACAAAGAGACTGAAGGGCCGCAAGTGGCTTATGAGCGACTGCAGGAACTTCTGTTCCAGTGGCTGAAGCCGGAGGCCCGCAGCAAGGAGGAAATTGTTGAACAGCTCGTCCTCGAGCAGTTCCTGAACCTTCTCCCAGAGGATGTCCAGCGTTGGGTTCGGGAGCGGCACCCTGAAAATGGGGATGAGGCTGTAGCCCTGGCAGAAGACTACCAGTTCCTGCATCCTGAGCCAGGCAGACGGCCCTTCCCAGAGAGGGCGAGGCAGAGGGCTTCAGCCAGGTCTTGGCTCCGCTGAAACCGCCAGGCCAGGCAGGCAGGATTGGATATCAGTAAGTAATAGCCACAGGCCACCTTCCGTCCCTTTGCAAATACTGCTAATGAAATCTCTTTCGCAGTCAGGGAAGGCCATTGGTAGGTCCTGAAGTACCTCCCGTCCATGATCTGTGCCATGCCTGCACTGCCTGAGAGCCATGTGGGGCAGCCGCTCTGTCCCTTGTGTGTGCCGAATTCGGTCTCCCACTTTGCAGATGGTGGAGAGGACCAAGCTATCTGCAGGTGAGGGATGGAGAAGGGGGATGTGTGGCCCTCCAGGAGCTGACGGACTGCACCTCCCATCAGCTCTTGCCACTGGCTTTGCTGGCCGTTAGTCCTACAACATCTGGAGGAGTATATATTCCTCATTCCTAGTATACAAAACCCACCCTGAGATAGTTCCCTTAGGAATTCTGCTATCCATTGTCCTGTGAGCAAAGGTCCGTCCTTGTTTCCATGACTGTCTTGCGCATTGAGGCTTCAAAGGTTTGTACCTCTGAGGTTTCCAGGTGCTTTGACCAGCTTTGCGGTAAGCAGAACAGCCCAGCGGCTGGTGGCAGGTCAGGGTGTGGTCCCAGGGACACCCCCCACCCTGCATCCAACAGTGGAAGTAATACAAACCGGGTTCATAGTTTGAAGTCTGCCATGCACTGGAGAGGCAACCCATTCATCAGCCATTTTTCAGCTACAAGCCTGGCTTCACTGGTTCACAGCTGCAAGTGGGATCCTTGAGTTTTAATTGCACATCTTTTTGAGCTTCCTCCTGTGCACCAGTTGCAGGGCAGTAAAATGTGGCCATCTGCAGAGCAAAGTGAGCCAAGGAACGGGTCCTGAGCATGCTGAAGTTGAAGAGGGAAGGCCAGAATATCCTCGCTTTCCTTCCTGTACGTTGCACCCTTATGCTTTAACACTGACCTTAACATAGGTGTTGCTTTGTGTTGAAGGTCAGAACCAGCTGGGCAGCTGAGAAACACTCTGTTTAGATGGTCCCAGCAGTGCTGGATTCTCTGCCCCAGGCTTCCAAATTGGCTCTGCACTTGCTGGCTGGGAGTGATGGGAGGGCATCAACACGTCTGGTGGGTGGCAGTTGGGGAAGGCTGCTCCAAATGCCCCCGACACCTTTACTGGTACGCCAGTCCTCGTCATCCTTGGCCAAACCACGAATGGCAAGTTTCTTTGCACTTTTTGTTTCTGATGAGGTCTTGATTTCTTCGCAGGCTGAGAGAATGGAAGACCTGGTTATCTATCCAGCTGGAGACAAGCTTAGATGGGCAAGAAGAATCTGGGAATCAAACTACAATACACACTTACTCGGCATGAAAAGAGCTTGACGGCCTTTCCCTGTAGGATGGTCTTTACCTGGAGGGAAGCTCACAGTTCATTTTGTGTGTGCGTGCTTGTACATCCATGCATCTGTTTCTGCGTACTTTCTTGTGTGCATGTATGGAAGAGTGTTGTGTGGGAAAGGACTGGCAAAACCACGTCTGGCGTCCGCCACCTTCTCCAGATTGCCCCTGCACCAGCAGCACCAGAATGGGTGGGAGGAGCGACAAAGCAGGCTCTGAAGGGAGCTTGCGTTGTTCGTAAAATTGGGTGGGGGTGAGCGCACCGCATGAGCCTTCAGAGAGGATGTGGGGGGGGGGGAGGCCTTGTGGTGGAGGAACCCAGCGCTGCACACCTGTCTCGTTTAGGTTGATGCCCGACATTGGAGCCAAGCTTTTCTAGTGCCCTGCAGT